AGGCCACAGGGCCAGCAGAGTCACTCTTCGCTGTGTTTATTCACTGTTTCTGAAGATGACAGCTGTCTGATGAAGCCTCAGGAACTGTGTTTAGTTGGGTAATAATAACATCTTGGTTAGCAACCTTACCCATAATCCTGCAACACATTTTCTCTCTTGTCAAGGCTTGTGGGAGTTGGGTCACAGGTTCTGCTGCAGCAAACCTTCCACACACAGAAGAAGAAATCCCCTACAAGGGACCCCCAGCACTCGCCCCAACCCCTAACCCATAACATCTAACCTTTCATCACCACTGCAGTGCTGCCCTGACACTCAAGACACCTTACCAAGGATCAACCAGGAGAGCAGGAGCAGCCAAATCATTTTACTAAAGACAAGCACATGAAGATTTCCAACAAAGACTAACAGGGTCATGTCACACAGTGAACACTGGACCATGTCATTAATGAATAGATACACTTCGGTTTCTCTCTTTACTGTGTATATATATACTTTATATCTAATATATATCAAAACGTGTTAAGGAGTAGATTGAGAAGATATGGTGACAAACGTGCAGTGCTTTTAGAATATGAACGGTATTCATTCATTCACCTACCTCTGCCACACTGATTGTGAGGACTAGAAAAAAGTACCGTCTTATATCTTAATCAGACATCCTAGATCGTAACCTCATGCATAAGTCTTAAAGAAAACAAAAATCACTCCCCATCCAGATCTGAACGATGAGCACAAGTCAAATGAAAATATGGGGAGGAAACGTTCTGAAGCTGAAGAAATTGCATAATATAACAGCTAAATGAGCTGCCCTGTCCACAGGTAAAACATTAACACTTAACATCCCCTTAAATAAGGGTTTATAACCTGTAACCTGTAACCTCCATTCAAATGTATTAAATGAAACGGAAATGGAGCACAACAATGGAAATGGCAGGTTAGTGCCTTCATGGCCAGCGCTGAAAGGCATACTGTGCAGAGATCTGTGCATTGGAGTTCTGCTCCGGAGGCAGAAATCACATCCTCTAACCTCTCAAGATATTTTTTCTTCTTGTCTGAACACTAACATACAACCTCTGTTCATGAGCAGTCATTTCCCTTCGGTCTTGCTATTTATGCAATGAGAGAAGTCATTTCATCATAAACTCTGGCCAAATACACATTCCTCCTTGATATGATTAAAAGACAGTCTGCACACTGTAGCAGCAGACAGTGTACTGTATTAAATATGTATGTGCCTCATACGGTATATTGACCATACATGCTTTGTCTGAACCGGTTGGGTTATTAGAAACAGCCAGATCTGCTCAGTTCAGTTCAGTGACCTGTTCCCTGTGCTTCCTACAGTTATTTACTTTAAAAGGCATGCAAATTGAGAGAGTTCTCTTATAAAAACATTCCCATATACAGACAATCGAAACCCGCTCCATAAACCCCTTCTCCAAAGAAGTCCAGTCTTCCAGTCTCTTTCTGGCTGAAGATCATAAAAGACAACGGTTACTGCAGAACACTGCTAATAAGCACATTTCAAGAATTCTGTCTGTTTTCTTGATGTGTTGGTTTAATTCTGAGAATGTAATTTTCCCACAACTCAAACAAATGCAATAATTTGCTGATTGACTTACCTGGACATGTTGTACTGAACAATGGACCTGGTGAGTCCAGTTGTCTGGGTTTCCCCCATTAAGGAACACAAGAAAGGTTACAATATGAGGCCATTTGTCGTATCTTGCACTTTCTTAGAAGAAAGCCAGGGTATCATTTTCAGCCACATGTCTGGGTAGCTTCTTCCACTCTCCCACCACCTTTTTCTGGTTTTTAATGCACTTCCTCTTAAAAGGTAAAACTCATGCAGTTGAATTGCTCATACAGTATATCCTAAATCGAATGCAATGGCTGCGAATTTCCACAAAGCCTTGATTTCTAAGAATAACTGAACCAGTAGCTGAGCTTCTCTTAGAAAGTGATGCCATTCACAGAAACAGCTCTAGCTGGAATTCCCCCCAAAATGAGAGGAAGGGTAACTTGTCAGCTCTCAGGAACCTGCTCCTGTTTCAGAGTACCACCTTGCTTATTGGTGAGGATTTCTTTCCTCTTTTTTTTATTTTGGAGGGCTTATATTTCCTGTGAGGTTACTTCTTCCCAAAACGCATGCTTCAAAAAAGTATCATGCACCAAGCCAATAACTAAGTGTCACGGATGTGGGAAAGGCAAGCGTGGAATGGTCAGGAGAGCAAAAGACCCCATGCGTAGTGGCAAAACGGGGTTTAACCCGGGCTCAGGAGGTCAGACGATGTCGGGTAGAAACCTACTGTATGGCCTCAGGCCGCGGAGGAGACGACCTGGCGCTGGGCGGGTCTCAAGACATCCAAACCCTCAATGCTGAGCTAGGAGGAAAGGGTGACCCGGAAATATATAGCCCCAAACAAAGACACACCGGAAGGACAAGAAAAGCACAGGGAAACTAAGAACAGGACAGAGTAGGAGCGCCCTCTAGCTGTGGAGAGTGTGACAGTGCCTCTACATACAGTGCCTCTACATACAGAATCGAAGGTTTCAGAGATGAAGTCAGTTGGAATTCCTTCATTTAAATCTCCCCTTGGACAGAGCACAAACAATGGGCCATTTGCTTTGTGACAGTGTACTGAAAGCTAAGCAATGGCACAATGAATCCAATCAGACTCCAGTTACTTGTTATTTTAACATAAAGTGAAGTCTGGCTAGAACTCTGCAGTCAAGGAAAGTTCTGTAAAAGCAAGTGATGAAACTGACAGGCTGTTTTCTTGTCTGACCTATTCCATGGGTCAAATTGTAGCAGATTCAGTATGCGCAAGAACATTGTATACTCAAGAAAGATATACAAAAATTACACCTTTGTAATGGCTGCTTAATGGTTCTGCAACATAAGGGACGTGTTCCAATAAGAGTGGCCACTCAGCCCATCTCTCCTTTTTGGCAGCTAATTGATCTGAGGATCTGACTCAGCTCTTTCTCGATGAAGCCACATGGCTGTTCAGGCTGTTCCAGACCCCGAAAGCCCTGCAAGACGTGCAACCTGCTCCCCCGTTGTGTTACGAATGTGCAAAAGCACATTGAAACAGAACTCTTACACCAACGCTGTGGACACGTGCAGCCAGTGGATAGGTTGTCCACTGGTTCACACATCGGGTACACCAGGCCCCCCAAGTATCCCCAGCTCTGCGGTGGACGATGCTAAGATGAGGATCCAAGCCAAGAGTGATTCGAGATGCATTCGAGGCGGAATCAGGGTCTCTTGCATTTTGTTTTCAATTCTAAACCTGAGTTTGCTTTTGACACATCACCACATGTCTCTTAAAAATCATCATACCTGGAGAATTGTTTCAATAGGAAGGGCCGGCTGAATGGAATAAATTACAGTCTCTTTCTATTAAAAAGATATTCAGTGAGTGTAGGACTTTCAACAAAGTTACTTTAGTGCATCTACAGTATAGTAGTTTGACCTTCAGTTTTTGTAATTTAAGACATTTGCATTTCCACTTAACATATCTGTATGTAAGAGATTCTCATAATATTTATAAACAGTAAAAAAGCGTCTATATTGGGGTAAAAATGTCTCAAATTGACAGTTGAACAGATAGATAAAATGATGAAAACCTTTCCTCAGGCCTGACAATCTGTACACATCCAGAAATCCTTCAACACTCTGATCAGTGTTGCTAGAAGGTGCCAGTTTCCTCATGCTACGCTGGCCCCACACTCAGGTTGGTACCCCTGTCTCTTTACAGTTCCTATCTGCATTGGGAAGTGTGGCCTCACCCCTGAGCAGTGCCTTTCCTGTTTTTCAGTACCTAACGAACAACAGTGCAGCCTCTCCCCACTCTGTGTCAAGTAGATTTATGAAACTGCAATTCTCATGCAATTCCCCATGTGAACAGTGAATACACTGAGCTTGTTTGTAGGCAGATTTTCAGAACTGTGTTCATAAAAACCTTGTCACTGTTGTCTTTTAGTTTCTCACAATTTTTTTATGTTTGCATTTTCAAGAGATTGGGGGACAGGTATTCCCATTCCATTTCCTGTCCGTCAGCCCTGGACCTACAGTACCTGTGTATCAACACAGGCCAGCTGGGGCTGCTCCTGGGCTCCTGCGCCAGCACTGTCTAACCTCTGGGTCACGTCAAGGCAAGGTCAAGCACAGCCAGGCTCGTCACCTCCGATCAGACGTCTCCTTTGTCGTGGAATTAATCAACACAACATGCTGTCAGTCATGCAGAGGGGAAAATCAGGAAATCTTTTCCTCCAAAATCATCTACCTGCAGCTTTTTTCCCCATTATAGGGGAACAGAAACTAGTGCTCGTATTAAATAAAGCCGAGAAGGGAATGCAAATCATTGTCTGGCCCTTATGCATTGTATTGACTTGTTTCTTTGTTTTACTTCTCAAAAAAAAATGTTTTCATATAAATGCCGCTAATTAAATTTCCTAGAAGAGGGCCTTTAAAATTCCCCCAACGTCCTGGTGCCTTGACAAGTACTGAAAGGTATTAAAATACAAATTAAATGTTAAATATTTTATAGCAGAGTGCATCTAAGGACATTAGAGACCGTTACTGTGCTGGTTAAAACTCTTAGTAGAATATAGGCTACGGTAAATAACAGTCTAAAGCTTTATGTCCATCTCATGAATATAAGAATACACTGTAGGAATATAAGGTTACAGATTAGAAGATGCCTTTTGGACCACAGAGCTTGTTTGGTTGCTAGAAGACAGTTGATCCCAGGACCTTATCCAGCCGTTTCTTTCAAGCAGCCAGGAAGCCGGCTTTAACGTCATGGCTCGGATCCTTGTGATCTTTGTAACTTTTGTAACGTGGAGAGCGTTTGTTAAGAACCGCACATGAGTAACAAATGCAAACCTGCTAACCAACGCTTTAAAGATGTGAAAAGCATGCACGGAAGAAAATTAGACAGACTAGAATAAACAAAGCTCTATTATTTATTTTTCTTCTTTCTTGACACCCCGGTCTCCTGCAGCAGATTCCAGAAGCATTATCACTCATTCCCGGCTGGCAGACCAAGTGTGTTATTTGTCACAGTGCTATTAATACAGAAAAGCTGCAGGTAATTAAGCCAGAAATTCCATGAACCAAATGTCCATCAGTCCTACACCCATAAAAACAGAGGTGGCAGAATAAGGGTGGGGTGAAATGTATTAGTTTCAATTTATTGAGTTATTACCTCCAGGTATGGGCAGGGTGAGGATTAGAATACCAATGTCTGGGGGAAAAAGGATGAGAATGACTGATTATTACATTCAAACAGTATTAATGAATTTGCAACCTACAATGAGCTCATGGGCCATGGCACAACACACGCAGCTCTGAATCAGTGACTTGCTATTGTTCGAATTCTAGCTAATAAACAGATTCTGATATTGCAACACCTCGCTGCTTTGCAGAGCATCGTCCTGGTGCGTGCTGCAAGCTGTTTGCAGGTGCTGGTTATATAATGTTAAGTAGGTCAATAGAGATTGCATTTTGTCATTAGAGAAAGAACTTTTTCCCCGTATGCATGGTGCACGAAAAGGACGTCACAAAAGGCTGGAAGAAAAGAGCAGCAAAAAATCGAAACGCATTATTAAGCTTGCCTGCAGTAATAAGGCTGATCATATTTAAATTGAATTAAATTAATTATCTTTGATGATTTGCAAATGAAAGGTAAGACAAATTACCTTTTTTATTTTGTACTTCTCCTTTTTTAATGCCCAGCCAAGTAATTAGTTACACTCTTGAAACACAGAGCCTATCAAGTCACATTAATGGTTTTGTTGCAGAAATTAATTTAGATATTAGAAATTACATTTCTGACCATAATCTCCGTTACTCAAATTAAATATTAACCAAAAGCTGTCTACGGCTGAAATGAAATTTGTCCTTTGAAGTGTTTTTATTAATCCGCTCTGATTGAAGGTGCTTGAAATTCCATGAATGTGCAAGGCTGCTACCAGTTCTGTGCATCACTTACCTTAATTTATTTTGCTGAGCATAATTCTATTTATAAATGAAAATCTTATTAAAAGAAGACAAGAAAAATTAGTTGCAGGCCTTGGATTGGTGGTGTAGAAACAAAATGAGCTGCCTAACCCGAAGTGACATTTACAAATTACCTGTTAATTTAAACTGGGTTGAAGGATGACAGAGCTGAACTGGAGCGACAGCAAAATACCAAAGGACCGACGGCGGGGCCCGCAGTGACCAGGAGCCTCCTGCCGACCGCACATCTCCCCAGGCCGGCAGGGAGAACCTTGGATTTCGGGAAGCGTGTGGCGCAGGAGCCGCCCTGCCGCGTGTCCAGTGGGTGTGGACTCCCGGGGAGAGGTGCGGCCTGCGCGGCAGGAGTGACCCCGCGCGCCCCCGGGCCGGCCCGCGAGAGGCACCGCCGCCGCAGCCTGTCCGCGCTCCCTCGCTCGCGCGCTCTCTCCAGCCGCGCAGGGCTTCCCGGACGCCAGCGCGGCAACTGGCGCTTTCTGCTTGAGGAAATCCCCGAGCAGACATTATTACCCATCACGGTCATGTTGGAGGAAGCTAGATGATAAATAGTTACAATCAGTGGCGTTTTTTCGAGACCGCCGCTCTGGAGGATATTTGACTCGCATGACTCGCAGGAGAAGAGACTTGGGGGAGAGAGGTGGCGTCCGTGTGCAAGGTGAGTGGACACACTGGGAGGGTCACCTTGTGCCCTGTCCATCGTTATTGATGAGTAGCTCACAGCGGAGTGGACACCTGCTGCCCAGGGTCACCACAACACATTACAAATTAACAGAGGAAAAGGAAACAACTCGTGCAGATTAAAACTAAATTAGAGCTGCATCCGAAATGTCCTTTGAGGGATGCCTTGGCCCCTTGACCGTTTTTAAGCCGAAACAAAGAAGGACAGTGATGAGGAGCGCAGGGGGGAGAAAGGGAGCTGTAGAAAGACAGGCCTCGCCTTTCTGTCCCGCTCTGATTCAGAGTGTGGCACCTGCCGGGGCGTGGAAGCTGAATTCAGAGGATGCTTCAGAGAGCCAGTGACACGACTGTAGTCCGTCCCCCTTAAAGGGCTCTCCGGGTCATTCACTTTTTAGTTGATTTTGTGCACCTGCTCCCTGTTCCAGCTTCCCTACAAAGGCCAGACGCTCACTCTGTTCCGGGCTCTGAACTGGAACACGGATGCCCGGTGGCCTGCCTATCACCGAGTCGCCCTACGTCCGCGGCTCAGGTGGCGTTCGCCTCCTAGGTGTCCTGAACCAGCTGAGTCCGGGACCTGGAGCGCCTTGTTCCGTTTCCCCTTTTTCCCTCCGACCCTTCACTGGATCCCGCTCCGGCTTTTAACTTTGTCTTCTTCGTCTTGGATCGATCACCCCGCTCTGGACATCTGCCTGCACCACTTCCCTTCGGACTCCCTTTTTGGACAGTTCGCCTGGACTACGCCCCCCGGAGCACCTTCATCACACCAAACCCCCCCCCCCTCTTCTACCAGCCCAGTTCCTCGTCTCCTCCCTGTGTGCGTTCACTCCCTTCCAGATTGTGTCGCCTGTATAGGGTCCTGAAAGACGCTCCATAACAGCCAGACTGTAGAAGCCTGGAGTGGGATCTAGTCAGCATCCTTCCCTCTTTTAATGACCAATCAGCCAGAATCAGTTTAATGTTTGATCTAAAGGACATCGTTTCCTATAGCACAGTTTCCCCAGTCTGCTGTTATGCTATAATGTAGTAGTGTGTCTAATATAATAGTGTTGGTCTGCAAGTTCTGGCTTAGTGGGAAGAGCACCAGCTACCCATTTCCCAACACCATCAACCCAGTTTTCTTAAAACGTTTCCTGTCCCCATACTGACCAGACCCATCCTTGCTAGGCTTCTGAGATCTGACTGTATCAGGCTACACGTTGTTAATTACAAATCAATCCAAACATTGAGGCCCAGGAAAGAACAAGAAGTAATCAAGCTGGAAAACGTACATTTTTACCTTGGAGTAAGAAAATTGAAATTCTGTGAAAATACCTTAAGCAAACGATTTCAATAACACGTATGATTTTTCCATACTTTTCGTATTTTTTATTGAAAAACACCTCTGCCAGTAGCTCATTAGGCTGGGATCTCTGACCACATTCTGCCACAGCAGTGTTAAATAGGAAGAATGGTCAAGATGTTACTTACAATCACTGAGAAGCTAATGTTGGCCGCACTGCAGTGCGTCGGAGTTTTGTCATGAGGTCCCGCTGGTGAACTGATTCTGTCCATGCATAACTGCCGAGCTAATGAAAAGAAGGAGGTGGGTGAGGCTTAATGAGCTAAGTAGTTTTCCTCAAGGCTAGAAACAAGCTCTTAACCACAGTAAAAGTAATTGAAAAAATGACAAGCAATACATATAGCACGCAACGCATGTGTTGCACAAATTATTATGAATATTGCTACTATGATTATTGTTGTTTTTCAGCATCACCATAATGCAACTTCATCCTATAAAGAGAGAAGAAAGCCATTGCTAATCACAGTACAGAAGCCAGGAAAAGAGTCACAAAATCGGTCAGTGTTGAAACAACAGCAGCTCTTGTGAAAAATGCTACAATGCTAAACCCCTGAATTTGCAACAGGAATAATGCAATCTCTCAAACTACACCTTAAGGTCTCCAGGAAACTCTCTGCTCACTGCACGATTGAGTAATCCCACTGCAACTGGACGTCCTGTTGGGCTGTGACTAACAAGAGACGAGTACAGGAAGGTCACGGTGCTTCCTGGAGGTTTTCAGGACTACCTTGATTTCTCCCCAGTTTTACTTTGCTCAGAGCTCCACCTGGTTGTCATTTATTGATACTGACTTTTATTTCCAGACCAGGCCACCCTCTGGTCCCTATAAAGCAAAAACATCTAGCTAAGAGTGGATCTTGGGTGAACCTCCATTCTGTCACAGTTAATGGAAACTGTGATGTAAATATTGTGTGAGTCAATATTGCCTTGTTCCATTGTTTTCACAAGACATGCTGCAGCTGGAACATCAGAACATAAGACATATTAAAACATGGGAGGTTGCCCATCTAGCCCGTTTGCTTGCTAGTAGCTAATTGTCCCAGATGTTTCTTGAAAGAAGGGACTGGCTTCAACAGTATGACTGGGCTGCTCATTCCACACTCCCATTACCCTCTGTGTAAAGAAATGCCTCCTATTCTCTGGTTTGTATTTCATCGTTGATTCTGAAGAAACCCATTGCATTGAGTTAGTCAGTGCCAATGAGGATCTGAATATTTGAGTCATAACCCTTTTCCTTCCAGAGGACACAGAACAAAAGTGTCATCTGCTCATGGAGAAAGAAGAGGAGGCGATGAAGAAAAATCATGCTACACGACTCATCCATTCATGTTTTAAAAAGTAAAGTAAAAAGCAAGTACTGTGGCACACACTGAATTCACAGCACAGCACCACATGAGAGCTATCTGGGGGAAAAACACAATCAGTATAATGAAATAACACCTAAATAATAATACAGAACAACAGGTAGGCAGCATCAGATGGTAAATTCTATCATTCCGGCTTTGATACGTGACTTTATAAATGCTAAATGAAGCAGCCATCATTAGATATTAAGCTTTGAGGATAATGGAGCTATAAATCTCGTAAAATTTAATCTCTGGAGTGCTTATGGTCTAAGGTCACGCACACAAGCGAGAGCTCCGATTCATGACGTTGTAAATTGTCGCGGTGGTGAGGGGAGGCCGAGGGGTGCATGGCGCTCTTGAAGCCACCAGTCGGCTCTGAGTAAATGCCCCTTTTAGGTACGCAGCTGTTATGACAAACAAGCGCTAAGGAAAAAGCCTGTTATTTTAACAAGAACACAATTAAATGAGTTGAACTGATCCAACAAGGCTAATGTTGGTCATTCAGGAACCTTGTGCTAACTTCAATTAGCCACCGCCTCTCCCCAGCTTTCAGATGTAATTAAAGTAGCTTAGTTGTGCTCAATGATGCACGCCGCTTCATTTAATCACCAACATTACTTTCCAGAACTATTAATGATTTTTCGGGGCACATGTTTATGCAGAATTAGAACAGTAATTACCTTTGCAGTTAATTTGGTACCTTCGCATTTCACACCTAGCTCCAACGTCATTCATTTGCTGCAGTCTTTTCTGTCAAAACAAAGGAGCTCCTGTTCTCACTGCATATCTCTGTGCCCGACTGCAAGCAGACTTCTGTAACACTAATAAACCTGCTCCCCAGTGAAACAGGTGTAGTCATTCCAGCTCTTTCCCAGTTCAGGCTTGCGCGTACACGCCACCTCTTACCTTCATTAGCTAGAAAATGAGATTTTTGGCACACGGAGTAAGCTTTTTAATTTAGTCTCGTGAAGCAGAGTATAATGTTTAATTTAAATCACAAGAGTGGAGTGCGCTCTTTTAATTTTAACTGGTCTGTGAATGTGAATTTGAATTAATAATCCAGAAAATTGAAACTATTTTCAATGCACTGCCTTGATATTGACTTCCCTCCCTGACTCTTTTTTTAGATTTTTTTTTCCCTACGCGCTCTATTCCATACCCCCACAGCTGAGCCTTCTCTTCCTGTGAATATAGATGTTTTGCACAGAGCAAAGTGCCTCTAATGAGAGAGTCTTTTCAGGCCTACTGCAGATCACTGCACTTCTGCAAACTTACTGCTACCAAAATTGTCTTAATATTCCAGAGGATGCCTAAGACTTGGTTGCTGGGCAACCAGAGGTCACATGGTCACAGGGTTCAAGCCCACAGTTGTGGAACCACAATGCATCTGGTGATGATTTATTCAAACACAGTTTAAAACCTGCAGTTTTCCTCCCTCATTGCCTTAATGTAACCAGGCCCCCATTCATAACTGTCAAGAACCTATTCATCTGGACCCTGGCTTATTAAGTCGAAAATTGTACATAAGATGCACTTTCTGGTAGAAAAAAAAGCAGCATTTTTTTTCTTCAGTTTTGCCACCTGATACTTGCAAGCCTTTTCTGGGGCTGGAGGAGGAGCACCTGCTGAAGGTTCTGATGCGCTTTCTTCCTGATTGCAGCCCAGGTCCCTGCCTGAGACCAGGGAGGCCAACGACCTGACTGTGCTGTGTGAGCGACGGTCCGGCACAAACTGGACACGCGTGCAGCAGACCAGCTGCAATAGGTCCTGTGAAGACGGGGTTTCTACCATGAAAAAGGCCTGTGGCCACGCCGGGCCTCAGCTGCAGCTGTGTGGAACACGCCAGCAAGAGAGAGCTCAGGACAGGAAAGACAAAACCCATCTACCTGCATGCCATGACCAGCACTGCAGGCTTCCCCAGCTGTCAGTCTGAGGAACGCAGCCCTAGAGCAGGAGGTGACAGGGAAAGAAATCTGCAAAGGCCCACTCTGTTCCAAATCCCAGCTCCCAGCTCCCAGCTCCCAGCAGCGGTGTTCCGAGGCACCAGGAAGCGCGGCACTGTGTGGGCTGTCCCACTGGAGTGGCACTCATGGCCCAGCGGCAGGGAGGACTGTAGGCCACTGCTCTCTCTCCTACAAACCAAGGAAGCTCCTCATCGACCCCAACACTGGGGCCTCTGATTGGCTTTCTTCCGTGGCCTCGAGCATCACTTACTAACAAAACTGTGAACGTCTGTTTTCGAGAAGCTGGACAGGTGCCCTGTACTTCTCTTCTGGAACCCACATGACAAGGAGATGTTCTGTGTGTGTGTGGTAATTCTTTATATACATAGAAACAAAATAAACATTGCCTAATAGACTTTGAAATCGTATGTAATTGTACACTTTATCTGTCTCAGTCCCCAAGATTTTAAAGCTTTGTTACATACTGAAGTATCAAGGATTATTTATACAAATCTGTCGGTAACATAGCAGCTTTTCCACAATCACTTATCAGCGGTATCTCATTGTTATAGTCATTATTCCCTGGCATGGGATTTCATTGCCACAGGGGCAGCCCACATGCCTTGTCTCCTGGATAAATCCTGAATCCACTCAAAAAAACAATAATGCTTTGTATGATGACGTCACATACACAAGTTTGTGTCACATTAAAAAGACATTAAATGTTAGCCCTCGTCACCACTACCGGACTCAATTCACACAATCACAAGCATCGGTTGTCTGCATGTTCTTCTTTACAAGACAAGAGAAAGAGAAGAAGACCTCAGTGCTTCCTGACTACTGAAGGGCTCTTAACGTGCTGAATCCATTTTCTAGCACATTTGCTCTGGCCCAGAGATCCCTAGCTGTAGCAGTGCTGGAGTCATGCTCCTCAACCGTATAAGCTGCTCTGGAATATAATTGAGTCATCTAGCTGTGTAACTGACAGCTGATGTAAGCGCCAAGCAGGAGCCACAAAAAATCAGGAGAATAATTAGTGTAATGAAATAGGAGTGCTAATAAATTCAAATGTCACCCAGAAGCACACTTGAATCAAGCAGCTTTTCTTTTAATAATCTCATGGAAGGGGGAAAAAAAACAAAAAAACAGTATTACAATTCTCTTTTCATTCTGCTGCATTCCAACACGACTTAACAAATATCTTTCTCTAAGATACACTAAGAGGTGGAGGATGGGTAAAAAAGGAGCAGGTTTGTTCCTTTAGCTTTGTCTTGACTTGGGCGGAGCAGGGGAAGGCCCCCTGGAATTGTGCTGCATTGCTGGGGTTGTGATTGAACAGAAACGGGCCTTTTATCTCCGTAAGAGGACCAGACTCTGAGAGCTGCTCATTCAAACCTGACGCGCTGTTAATAAACACAGCCGCCTTTCCAGCGGGTTTGCAGCCATTTGTCAAAGTGTGGAAACCCAAGCCTACCTGTGTGAGAAAAGCAGGCTGCAGAGTGCCAATCCATGTTCTTTTCCATTAGCGTTATTGCCCTGAGGATGTGGCAGGAGAAAGGCACCCCAGTCTGACACAGTTTCTGCAGCTGTATAATATCTCAGAGCTGTGTGGAGCCGCACGCTTCTTGCCTCTTCTGTCTTCCGGACCTGCTGTGACCCCAGCCTGCTCTACCTGGCGTTTTTCAGGGGAGCCCTTACAAGACCCTCCTCCTCCTCCAGCGCCCTCCTTCGCGCACTTTCGAATCGCTTCAGCCAGCTTGCTGCACAAGCACACACACACACACGGCCTCAAAGTGGTTTTTTTCCTTCACACATTTCAATCTCTTGATTTTCATTTTTGTCTTTTACCATTTAGGATGTCGAATGAAAGCATTTACACCTGGGACCACAAAAAGTGAAGAATGATATCCCTGAGCTGGAAGGGAGATGCCCTGTAGCTCTGTGCACACCACACTGGATAAACAGGAGTCATTCAGCTTGGCCCTCAGATGAGAGAATGCAGGGTGGCCACACAAACAAGCTCAGGCCGACCCCCAGAGTGAGACCCTAAATGCAATCCTATTAACACACCCCAAGCACCCCCTCAGCTTCCCCATCTGAGCCGTACAAAGAACGCAGGAAGCATACTGGCTTTCTTCTGTTGTTTTTAATGTTGTATCTTTCCCATAATTACTGAATTTGTCTTCAGATCTTTTACTACACAAAACTCAGAACTGATAGCAGCAGACATAGAATACCTGAGGTAAAAATAAACTAAAATATTCAGACACCATGACTTTCGCTTCATTTGTCAGAAAGCCTTCACTCCTCGCAGCACTCAGAACGTAGTGTGGGAAGGGCCGTAATCAACACTGCTGAAAGGCACATCTAATTAGAAAACTTTAGCTTTGACCCAGAGTAACTTTACAAGTGATTCCTCACAACAAAAAACTACCAGAAGTTTCTCATCATTTACACAATTTTCAGTGTTTTTTTTTTTCATCACCTACTTTTTGGTTTACTTGACCCTTGTTCTCCAGCATGAAAAGCAGCTCATTTTGCAATATTAATTATGCAAATTGATGGCTCGGGGTAATATGAAATGAATAGACCTCACGCAAATTAGACAATAAAAATTCAAGACCAAGAAAAAAGAATTAGTATCTCACTTAAAAATGAATTAATGACGCGCACAGGTATGCAGCTAATGACAGCAGCAATGCCCTTCGATAGAATTTCATTTGAATAAATCCTCAGGTCTCTTCTCCTTATTTATTATTTATCACTGTCCTGAATTGTGTGTTGTATGTTTTCCTCTGGAATGAGCCTCCCAGCCCTGTTGAAGCCGATACTTCGTCTTTCTTCAGGAAACAACCGGGTGAGGTCCTGGGATCGATAAGGCACTAATTGCTAAATAGACCCAGATGGACAGAATGGCCTCCAGTGGTTTAAAACCATTCTTATATTCATAACTAGGTTTTAATTTCCATCACTTTCCATTTGGGTCAACACTTAATAAGTCTTCCATGTGGGAAACGTAAAACTACAGTCTATCGTCCTGTAGTTCCACTACCAGAGCTCAGCCAGCAACTGAATGCGCAAAGTGACTTCAAACACTTCTGGACCAAATGTGGCTTTTGCTCAAGACAGGAAAAAAAACTCAAGGGCTGTGGCAAGGTTGAACCAGATCAAGACGAAATGACACGAGATTTATTTCAAACGGGGCTGCCCCTCAACACTACCAAGACAAGTTCTCTCACGAACAAAAGACTGCTGTTACATATATTTTGATTTTACTACTCCCTTCATGATATTCTTCAATATGGTACCACACATATGTTGCATTGTTCCAAACATATCACCTGTATGTGAGCTATGGCCGCGGTCACATTATCATTGGAAACAGAACCGGGCCCTTGGGGAGGTCAAAGACACAGCTCAGACTGTACAAGGCCCTGCAGGAGTCTGTGGGGTTTCACCTCACTGAAAGCACAGTGGATATCAGGCTGATAGTGAAAGAAGCAAAGCCAAGCCAAAGTACTGCTGGAGAAACATTTTTACAATTTAAAAATTGGTTCTGGTTCAAGTTAGGCCTTTTATTAACTTTTCTTCCATTTTAACATCAAAACACAGCTGCAAAGCAAACGGCGTAGTAATGTATTGTGGTTTGATTCCCTGCCACACTGACTCGGTCCCCACCATACAGGAAAATATGAAAATCATGCAGTGATAGCTTGCGGCTGTCATTTCCATTAATACCATATTAAACAGGATTCAGGTCCTCAATGTGTGGCCAGAGCTGAACCACTGCAGGTTGGCATGACTGCCTCAGGATCAGACAGGCTGTCTGTGCTTTGGAAACAAGGGGGAACATGAAGAACACAAGCATTCGGAGATCACAACACACCCATCCTGAGTCTGGGGCTTTGTGTTGTTGTCCAAGGCCTCCTCTGGACCCACTGCCTACGTGTTCCTGCTCTGAGCTGAAGCTTTGAGTCACGGGCATGGATGGAGAAACTGGAAGGGATTCAGCTACCACTGTGGTTGTTGCAAGGGCACAGGGAGTTCTTGATGTGGAACTTCCTGCAGGGTTGGTGCTAGCATTGAAACGTTTAGTTCTGCCTAGTCAAATGGAGATGTCTTCCATCTGCTAGAGCTCCTGTCTCTCCTGCACACAACCTCTCAGTGCAGAAGAGCTCCTGTCTCTCCTGCATACAACCTCTCAGTGCAGAAGAGCTCCTGTCTCTCCTGCATACAACCTCTCAAGAAATGCAGCATCACAGTACACGCAGCAGCTTGTGAAAGGGGGGCTTTAGCCCTAAATGTTAATGCAGTTTTCTTTT